GGAGTCCTCCAAAGCACGGACTACATCACTGCCTTCCTCGGCAAGGCTCAAACCCTCTGATGTGCTTAGGACGGTGAAATGAGCGCAGTGGTACAAAAGCCTCATAAAGAGAGTTTGGAAATATTCATATGGGGACTGCGTGTGGGCCCCCACCTGCTGGGCAGAAGCACTTACAGGGCTGGATTATCAGTAGGGTCCCTTTTCCAAAGGTGAGTCGATTAGCGGCTCCTATCTTCACACCCTGAGTGAACCCTTTACATAAACTTACCTGCCAGAAACTCATGCCCTGAACCTCCCAGAACCTCCATGGCTACACTGAAGCCCCCAAACATCAGGGGCAGCATATAGTCCTGGCCAGTGTTTCTGACCATCTCTTCCTTGTTGTTGAAAAAAACTTGAAACACTAGTGACCAGGGTAAAGGGCCCAGGGAGGGTCAGGACACAGCGACCAGTGCATTACTGTCAGCTTCCTGAGAGTGGACATGGCCGCACACTCTGTGTTGTTGTTTAGGAGAGGACAGGCAGAACGGAGACCCTAAGTCACAACCATTTACAGGAGCATAAGAAGTTGCTATGGTTTATATATTTGAAGTCTGAAGGAGGACAACTCAAATGTCAGGTTGGAGCAGATAATAGAAAAAGACATAAAGATCTCACTTTCCACTCAGACTTTCTGGTCCTCTCTGCTAAACGAGTTCCCGTCCCCAAAGTCGGCTTGTCTCTGCTGCCTTTCTTCTCACTGTTGTCAGCAGCTTCACAGAAACAGGGCAGACACCTGTCACTAGTCTCTCCTTGCCAACCTGTCTGCCACGTTTTCTCCTGACACTGATCCCAGAAATGCCCCGCAAGCCATGTAATATGCAGCTTTTCTTAACACCTAAGTCCTGGCTCAGGATAAACCCCAAGGCTCAAAACTACAGACTGAGGTAGTTTTATGAGTCTAGACACCAACACAGCAAGCAGTGCATGATCGACAGAGACGCTGACTATTTTTTTTTTTTAATATAAACTCAATTTTAAGGTTGTGGGTCACACCAGTGAATTGGTGTGATTAATTCTCTCAAAGATAATTCAGGAAAAAAATCTTAAAAAAAAAATGACACTAATGAACTCCTTTTTCTTTCTTTGGAATCAAATCCTTTTCAACCAGAAAAAGTCTATTCAATATGTATTGTTTGGTTTATGGTGGGCCAGATGTGTCTCATACTCACAGGGCTTGACTCTCAAAACGGTTCCTGAGCCAAAGATCAGTTTGTTTCCAGAGTTCACACAGTGTCGAACTCCTCTACAAAAAACGATGCTTTCGTGTGTGTGTGTGTGTGGGGGGGGAGCATAGAATCGGGGGGAATGATTGAATTCTGAAACAAAGGACTGTCTCACTTTGCATTTAGGACCTGCTGGTATTTGACCGAGAAAGAAGCCAAAGATACTGTGATAATTGCAGAAACTTACAAACACAAAAAGGCTGATTGTATATTAGAATGTGGTTTGTGTTTGCTTTTGCTGCCTAGACCAGGATAAGCATTCTAGCTGCCCTAGGGTTTACTGTATCTTTTCTTTCAGGACTTTTCTTGTCCTCTAGGCAGAATTTTTTCATCTCATTATTCCTAATCATAGCCGTTTATTCTAAATAATTCCATTTTGTTATGATGTCCTCCAATTTCAAAACCCATAGCATCTACCAATTACTAACAATTTCTGGAAGCCCTGCTTGGAAAATGAACTTGTTATAGCTAGTTTCCACAGAAAGTTTTCAAGTATTTGGGGGCACTGAGTTAGTTTAGAGAAATTCTGACTGTCCCAGGCTGGGTAAAGCATTGTTTTACTGAGCTGCTCTTAGTGGCTCAGGGAGTATGGCATGTTCCCTGGCTGTGTCATGCTCTCGCCTGGAGACAGTTCCCTGATGCTTTGGGCTGTGGCATTTGTGGGAGAGAGCTGACTGACTGTTGCTAGGTCCCTGGGTCCCCTGTTTAGCTCTGCTGCCTTCTCACTTCATAACTCTAGGACTCTCCTCACTCCTTGTCCCTAGATACAGAGTGAGGACAGAGCCCTTTCCTACCCTATCCAGACAGAAGAAAGACTTTGCCATTTAAAGGTGCTTTATCCCACCTGGCAGAAAGGCACGTTATAATGTAATTTTTACTAGGAGAGTCTGAGCATTCTGAATCCTGAACATTCATGCCTTAATTTCTTATGCAGGAAAAAGAAAAGATCCCTTTAGGTAACTGAATAGTTAAGACAGTTGGGAAATCCAGACTTGGACAGGTTCCATACCTCCAGTTCTTGCTCTTTCAGTATGCTTTTCTTTCCATTTTGCGAGCTTGTCTTTGATTACAGAGTGAGCATATTCAAACTTTCCATCACTTTTAAGTCCAAGGGCAAGAAATCTCTTTGCTTTATATTGTGCACGCTCCTCTGTGTATATTTGTCTGGTATATTTTTGATCTACATATCTATTAATCTCCCTAATCCTATCATCTCAGATATGGTTGTGTCTAACTGTTAATTTGGTGCTTCACCCAAACTGTAATGAACTAAATACAGATGTGCTTTCACATGGATACACTCCATGGGGAAAAATCTTGAGTTTTCCAAGTTGAAAGTTTCCCCTAGTCTTTCTGGTTGAAGTAACCCTGCTCCACGCAGAGCGCCAGCTCCTACACCTTTCCAAATACCTTTGCCATCTGCAAGAGAGACACAGCACTGACGGATCAGTTTTGTAAAATTATACCACCTGATGATCTGTCTGCCTCTCTGGGTGTCCTCATATCTTTTGGATATCTTGTGTTTCAACCATTTCTTCCAAACATTTACGGTACTCAAAGTTAAAATGATCATACAAAATAAAAATGAAAACACAGTCATTCTGTCTGAATTCTCTTCCTATATCACGTTAGTACTTGATGGCAGTGGCAAAAACAGAATTATGAATCATATTTTCTAGATTCGAATTCAATATTCAAGACTGGAGTTCCCCCAGAAAACTCAGACATTTGGCTGTTACCCAGCTCTACCAGTTTGGAGACGGGACAGCTAGAAATTCTCCCTCTAAGCCTGCATGGTCTATGGTGGCCCCCAGAATCTTACGCATGCTCATCTCCCGATCAAGAATGAAATACTTACTGGGTATAACAGTGAGCCTGGTTCCGGTCCCGAAGGTTAATTTGTCATTTCCATAGGTAGACCCACACTGCTCTAAGTCATTACAAAAACCATGGCTCAAAGTCTCCACACTCTACCGCGAGCCCCTGCCCCTGTTTTTTGTGACCTCCCCCCAACACACACACACGGGTCTCCCACGACATCAAAGCTACCAGGGACCCTTTCCTATCATTTCCTGATGAAACAACTGAGAGAAGCTGGGATAAATGGCTGTAATTAGGGGAGGCTTAATGTGTGCCCCCGGCTTTGATTTTCCTGCCAAATTCTTCTTCAGAAAAAAGAAAAGAGCAGAAATCCTCTTTCTCACTCCAGGGGGTATCAGTGCATCCCTCAGGTTTAACACAGGAACGGGTCTGGAGAACCTTGCCATCTTTCTTCCTTCTACACCATTCCATACCTCAGCTTTCTGTGAGGCCACCTCACTTTCTCTAGCCTTCTAGCTCCTTTGATCTCAGTTGAAAGTTGACCCTCCCTTTTCCACTCCTGGGACCTGTGCTGAGAAAGACTGAACTTCTCTAATCAGTGCAGATGTGGGAGGTGAGTGAGAGGGCCCAGCCATGGCTGCAAAAGATAGCGTTTGTCTTCCTTCCCCAGGACCTGGTGGACAGGGAAATAAAGACCGGTCTTGGCATAAGTCATTCTCCCAGGAGAGGGAAGGGGCTCTTTGCTCTGTTCCAGATGAAGTTACACCCACAAGCAGAGAACTAGAACAACAGACTTCTGATACTTCTTTCTGAAGTTTAAAGGGTTCACTTAACACAGTGTTGATAGAAAGTTTTCTTTGACTTACTTGGAATGACTGTCAAACTTGTCCCTGTCCCAAAATAGAACTTCTGGTTACCGGTGTTCCACTGTGATAGGAAGCTCAACAAAAACCAGGCGGAAGAGAGAGCCAGAGCTTACACCTGGGGCCTCATTCCACGGACGGACAGACTGCAGGCAGGCGGGCTATCTCTTTCCCCGGTGCAGGCGTAGGCGCAGGGGTATTAGTGGAAAGGAGCTCCAGGGCTTAGAGCAGCTGTGACCATGTGCAGCTGGAGGGGCTGATTCCTCCTGAGAGGGGATTAAAAGGAAGGCTAATGTGCTCGGTGTGCTGCTTGCTGTCTAATTAAAGGTGTAGGCCCATTTGTTTTATGCTCGGGCATTTAAAAATTCTTTTCTGTTAAGATTTAATTTCTCTCCTGATGATCATATGATTCTGAAGCACATTTTAATCAAGACTCCTTAACACATCTTTTGACTCTGGGAAGGATTTTATCTCTCTGTGAAACTTCCGGAATAATTCATTTTCTCCAGATTAACCCAGTGTGTGGCTCTGACCACTCTGCGCCGTTCCAGCCGGCCTCATTTCTCTAACACCCCCCACCGTGCAGTGTCCACTGCCCGTTCCTCCCACCCTCCTCGTGCCCCATGAGAATGTGCTGATATACAGCAGATTGTTTTTCAAATTGCCACTTTTAAGTCTCACGCCCTCTATGGTACTTTTTTCCCCTTAAGAATGATTTGTTTAATTTTATTTATTATTATTTTAAAATTTTACCAGAGAGAGAGAGGGAAAGTGAGAAAGTAAGCCACCAGGTTCAGGACTTGAACTGCAGTTGGTTCTGTGGGAGTCCGGCGCTTCAAGAACCACACTACCTGCTTGTCTCTATGGTATCTTCTAAGGACTAAACCTACATTTGCTATTCTTCAGTCTTTTTTTCTCATCACAGTTAATATATCTCGATTCCCTCAGTCTTGTATCCTCAATCACCATGCCGCCTGCAAAGCCATTTGAGCCCATGCATGTGACTATCAGCCCCAGCACCTTCCAGAGGCAACATCCTGTGGAGACTTACGTGGGATGACTGATAAACTTGTTCCTGGCCCAAATGTCACCTTGGTGTTGGAGGTTGTCACACAACCACACACGCCTTTACAACAACCAACAGGTGTCTCTGAAAGATCTTAGCCCCCAGTCTCTCTTGATGCCACTGCAAAATGCATTTCAAGGCACCAGCAGATGGCATAATGATTATGTTGCTGAACTCCCATGTAGTTGACCACGGTTTGAGTCTTGGACCTGGGAGCTTAAAACTCATGCTGGGCCTGTGTGGCGTGTGTGCCCAAAATCGCTAGAGGAGAATGGAGAAGAAGGGATTGCGGTGTGGCTATCCCCCGTTTGGGGATGATTTCTCGCTTTCTCTCTCTATCTCTCACGTGAGTGCACGTGCCCTAGAGCAAAAATCTCTCTCTAAAAAAAAAAATGGCATTTCCAGTACCATTCATTATTGCTATGGAATCTACGAGTTGGAGCCATGGTTAGGGCAGATTCTGTTAGGGATGATGCTAGGAATGTGTACTTTACCCTGGCGTCATTACAATTTCTGACAGGCTGCCGATTTTAAAAAGCATCCTTGCACTCCCTTGTCTCCTCCTCCTTTCTCTATCACTCCCCCATCCATGCAACACCTTCATCTGCATCTCATTTCCATCTCCAAGCCCTCTTGGTGACACCAGGTCCTCAGGCACCATTGATCTGCTTCCTCTGAGACAGCATATGTTCACCAGCACACCGTGATTAAAGGACTGGAAATGCCAGGCGCTCAGAGCTGCGATCTGGGCTCCCACTCCTTATCTCTGGTCAATATGTTGTTCTCATTTGTCTGGCTAATGAGGAGCTGACCTTTCTAAGTGGATGCGTTTTGCTGAAATGACAACTGCTAGAGAGTGAACAACAAAGGCTGAGCTCTGAAGGCAGCTTTGGCCTTTCAGACCCCTCTGGCATATTTCAGTCAATAGGATCCTGAGCTCAAATGTCAGCCTCTCAGTGTTGACTCCCACATTTCTGGACTTGGAGAAACTCAACCAAAAAATGGGTCATACATGGGTCCAACCCATGCCCTGCTCTTCAGAACAAGATTTCGCTTGGAGGCATCTCACACGTTCAAGAGGATTTTAACAACCCAGCATTCAGCCTTACAGTGGTGCTGGCACGTTCGAGCTCCACACCCACCTTGTGTGAATTTGTGCCACCACTGGCTGGAGCAGATAGAGACTGCACATAGCAATTTCAGGCAGCAGCTCTGCACACACAGAGCTGGGACTGTCTCTCTGCCTGATCCATGTGCCTGCATAGGAGCTGCTCCAGAGCACAGGGACTGCACTCATCCTTTGGCATGGAGGGCACAAGCCTCAGTAGAGGTCCTAGAACACCCTTCTCCTTGATACCCACCTCCCTGTTTCAGTCTTATCAAGCTGCGGTGAAGGCATATTCCTACTTCTTTACTTGTTTCCTTTTCTGTCTCTTATTTCTGTCATTTATCATTTCCAAGCAGCCAAAGGGCTTCCGACTCCCCTTAACCCATTTCCATTGGACTCCCTTAGGGCCCCTATAAGGAAAAGCCAAAAGGTCTGAACTCGGGGAGGAGTAGACATACATGGGGTGTGCTGTGAGTCTGGGGCTTTCTTGCTTGCTTGGCTTCACAGTTAGTCTCCCTCCCAAATATCGGCTTCTCATAGCGGTCACGCATCTCCCTGCAGCGGGGAGTTTTACAGCGGCTGTCAGAAGGAACTTTATGAATCTTAAAAACAGTTGAGTTTCTCTCTCTTCCCTGCGGGGTGCAGCAGCAAACACACCAAAGCCAAATCTTTCTATCTGCTCTAATTATCAGCAAGGATACAAGTCACCATGAGGAGAGAGGTATTAAGCGTTGTATCTGAAACTCTTTGGAATTAATTGTAATTCCTTGCTGGTGGTTTTAGCGAAAGGCATGGACATAGCAGATGCTTATTTCAGTCCATCCTCTCTCTCTCTCTCTCTTTTGTAGTTTTGCATCTATAGAAGCAGTAGGAGACATGCAGGGAACACAGAGGGATTTGAAATAGAGACTCAGATTCCCATTCGGTTTTCATTTTTTTCCTTCTCCCTTCATTTAAAACCCATTCTGAACTGAATACCACATACCTATTCAAACTCTGCTCTCAATTATGCCTCTCCACTGTGGCTGATACCAGTGGAAACAGCCTCAGCTGGGCCAAGAAGAATTTAAGACTGATGTAAGAAAGGCTTCTCATAGCGGTCACGCATCTCCCTGCAGCGGGGAGTTTTACAGCGGCTGTCAGAAGGAACTTTATGAATCTTAAAAACAGTTGAGTTTCTCTCTCTTCCCTGCGGGGTGCAGCAGCAAACACACCAAAGCCAAATCTTTCTATCTGCTCTAATTATCAGCAAGGATACAAGTCACCATGAGGAGAGAGGTATTAAGCGTTGTATCTGAAACTCTTTGGAATTAATTGTAATTCCTTGCTGGTGGTTTTAGCGAAAGGCATGGACATAGCAGATGCTTATTTCAGTCCATCCTCTCTCTCTCTCTCTCTTTTGTAGTTTTGCATCTATAGAAGCAGTAGGAGACATGCAGGGAACACAGAGGGATTTGAAATAGAGACTCAGATTCCCATTCGGTTTTCATTTTTTTCCTTCTCCCTTTCATTTAAAACCCATTCTGAACTGAATACCACATACCTATTCAAACTCTGCTCTCAATTATGCCTCTCCACTGTGGCTGATACCAGTGGAAACAGCCTCAGCTGGGCCAAGAAGAATTTAAGACTGATGTAAGAAAGAACTTTCTGACGGAGGATGGTACTAAACACTAGGATGGGTTACTCAGGAAGTCCATTGGGGAGGGTGACCCCCCCTTCCCCACAAAAGTTAGGGCATCATCTCCATAGAAGGCTCTGAAGACAGAAAAGATTTTATCTTGAGGATTGAGGTCAGCTTTTTCTCATAGCAGGGAGATAGACCTAATGGCTCAGGGTCCCAAAGGAAATCTATGAGTGTTGAGATTAAAGGCGAGAAAGGACCTTAGAGGACACTAGTTAGCTTCGAGCAACATCTAGTTCTCAGGCCACAGACATTTCTTCCAAACCTGACACCAGGTGTGAAATTTCAGAATTTCCAGGATGCCGCCGAGTCCTGTTACACTTACTTGGATGAACGGTCAAGATGGTTCCTTGTCCAAATATCTGTCCATAACCAGCACCACCAGTGTTAGCACTGCAGTGGAGGCCTTTACAAGAACCCCAGGGGAATCTCTGGGGCTCACTGACATATTCCTCCCTTAATGTTTGGAAGAATAAACTCAGCCAAAGCAGCCTGGATCTGTGAGACTTCCTTACCACTGAAGGTCAGAATACCACTGCCAGTCTGGTCCTGAGACCCTGACCTGCTGCATCGTCCAGGGCCCACCTCTCATCTCTCTCCATTTCCTCTGCTTTCAGTCCTGAGGCTTACTGATTTCTCATGTTCAGCATCTCTCTTTCTAAAGGTCTCATTTCCATTTTACAGCATCATTTTCGGGACAATTTCTCTGATCAGTTTTCAAGACGTGTCCTCCCCTCTCCTCGAGGTGTCACACATTTCTGATGACAATGAATTGATTACAAGGAGACAGGAGAGTGTTCAGCATTTTGAAGGCTGACTAGAATAAGATGAGGGTTGGACTCCAGCCTTATGAAACAGTATCTCCTGAACGTCTCTGCATGTTCTAGCATAAGAAATGAAAATGATGAGTATATTTAACTGAGTCTTCATGCACTGTGGCTTTGTCAATCCTGAACCTGGTGAAATGGAAGTAGTAGCTCACATGAAGTTTATACCTATCCCAGAGAGTATTTTGAATTTAACAAAGGAAGACTTAATCCCAAGAAATCTTTCAATGCTGGGAAAAATCTAGACATCTGGTCACCCTACAGTCTTACCCAAGGTGTCCTGACCTCTCAGAGTTGTCTAATGAATATACTGGCAGAATAAGTGACATCTCTGTTAGAGACAGGCTCTGCTACATCTACTTGAGTTTGCTATAAATTCCAGACGTTGACTAAACAAAGCTATCATTGCTGATAGTCAAAGCCATGAGCATCCTGGAGTCTCTTTGAGTCTGGTGGATGTCACAAGAAATGTGAAGCATAATCTCATTATGTGCTGTGATGGTGACCAACCACTATCCCACAGCATATGAAAAACAAGTATTTTAGTTCTCTAATTAAATTCTACTTTTCAACTCTTAAACTTTTTTTGAATGAATTTATGCTATCTTCTCTAGTCATCTCTTCAAGCAACCACTTATTAGTGAAGGGTGAAAGCTGTAACTTGCTTAGCATGAAAAGAGTGAGGAAAAGAGGCAATTTAGCTAAGAAATGCTCATCTGCTTCAAGGATAGCAGTGAGGGGATTCAAACAACCCTCCCCTTCTCTTTACTCTTTCACAACATCACTGTCTAATGAGCCCCCACCCACCACTTCAGTCTCCACAGGACATAAGCAAGACCAGATGCCTGCCCTCAGCCAAAGCCCTCAAATAGACAGGCACCAAAGTGTTGCTGTGCTGATAATTTCTGTGTTCTGCTGATTGAAGGAAAACAGAATTTAATCATAGGTTCCCTGGACTCCAGCATTGCTTGGTAGCCCCTGCATATAAAGAATCCACTGCATAGAAAATCTGGCATACAATTACTGTCCAGCGCTCTGGAAGGATGCTTGCCTTGCACAGATATTATCTTTGCATGGTTAGTCTGTCAAACTCCTGGTCCCTCCAATGTTTTAAATGTAAATATTCTTAACAGCTCTCAGTCCTCTAAGAGGTCAACCAGGTGCTGAGAGGGCTCCCATTTCTCTCTGTATTCTGGAAAACCTGCCACAAAACCTTGCCCTATCATGCTTTCATTCAGACACCAGAAATAGAACCTACTGTCCAGTCCTCAGCCTTGGTTGCCCACCCTCTGAAAAGTGACTGAGTCCTTGAGTCTTCTGGGATGTTCATATGAATCCCCTTGAAGCTTTACTTTGAGAAGACCTCAGAGACTGCTGAACACATGGGACTTAACAACATCATGTATTATTCATCATTTCTGTGCTGTTTCATGGCTAACCAGCAGCATGTTCCTTAGGCAGGACCTATCCCAGAACATTCCAAGCTCGCTCATTAACAACCTCAATGTTGCATGCATTGTATCATTGGGAACCATTCCCCATTCCCCAGTCAGATTTTGAAAGAACTTTACCTATGTTTTCCAATGTGCCTCTCTTAATTATAGACTGCAGATCTGAAAGTTAAACTGAGATATCTGGCCTTTACTCACCATCCAGGGCACTTAGCCTACATCAAAAGGAAACTGGGGCCTTTCAACAAGTTTTCGCATTTTTATTTTCCTTGAATTTTATAATACATCAGTTTTCCCCAGCATTAGTTTAAAAGCACCACCCTTGGCAACATAAATTTCAAGAAGTACCAATAACAATTATAGTGCCTTGCTTTCATATGTAGCAGTTTTAGCTTTTTCAAGCACTCACACACGTTATTACATATTGTGGAAGGGAACATGTATATTTGAAGGAGAGAATGTACTGCTCTGTTTTCAGGACTCGGGACAGATGGATTTCCCCCCCCCCCCCCCCCCCCACCCCACACCAACAAAAATAGAGAAGGAGAGAATGTACTGCTCTGTTTTCAGGACTCGGGACAGATGGATCCCCCCCCCCCCAAGCTAAACTAAGTAAAATAGAGGCTGAATTAATTGTTTTGGAAACCAAGGAAATAGTATGGTTAAATACTCTGGCTGAATTAACCAGGCAATTCCACTCATGGAGACCTTGGTTACTGGACTGAGAATTGAGAACAATTCCTTTAACAGAGATAAAGTGAAGATGAAAGAAGAACTCTGCCTGTAAGGTTTCCATCATTAGCTAATGAAATTGCAAGATCCTATTATTTTAGAAGATGCGTTTAGGGGAGGCTTAGTATCTACTTCAGGAAGATTTATATTTGGTCTACTGAATTTGCATAGTCACAATATGCCAATTTCTTCTCTATCTTTTTGGCAAACATTTCTTGGCCTTAGCCGAATCCCTCAGGATCCTGTATTCAATTTTTCTCTCTGCACCAATAATCACATTTAAGATGGATGATAGGAATGTTTTTGGCTGACGGTAATTTAGTCTTTATACAATAGAGTTTTAATCCTTCTGATGGGGGCCACATCTCCCCAAGAAAACATTAGATTTGGAAGCTAAACTGAAATGTTTTTGGGGGTAGGCAAGCCATTTAAATCAGAAAAAGTGTCTGAGTCCCCCACTCCCCTACTCCTTTTAAACTTACTTGGATTGATGGTTAAGAGAGTTCCTTTCCCGAAGGTCAGTTTGTCGTTGCTACTTCCAGTATTCTCACAGCCAGGGGAGGCTTTACAAAAACAGGGACAGGAGCTGCTCTCCACAGCAAGGCCCTGGAAGTCAATATGGTCTGGATCTCTCAACCCTGCACTCAACTTCCGCTTACAAGTTACTTGAGAACTATATATTTTAAAATAATAATACATAGTTATTAATAAAATTTTTATTATTCTTTTTATGACTAAACTGCTGCCTTAGATTCAGTCTGTCTTTTTTTTCTTCTTCTTTCCTAGTGTCTCCCGCTGGCTGGTATTTCCCATTGGGTAGTCAGAAAAATCATGACGTATTTTCCCATGTTTTCTTATGCATAAATGCATCATGACTTTCCAGATAACCTAATACTTTCTTGTACCTTGGGGTAACTGTTTCTCTGCTTTTTGTTGGAATTGTTCACATCAACTCACTGGATTCTGGTTTACTGGAAACTGATTGGAGAAGGGGAGAAGAGCAAGGGCGTTTTTACAGGGACATGTTCACGGGAAGGCATTTGAAGGCTTTCCTGTCTTTCCTGGTCTGCTTCTCTATGATGGGCCAGGTGAACTGAACCCCATATGTGCACCCCAGGAGAGTACGCAGGTCATTGTCTAGAAAGGAGAAGACTGTGGTGAGCCCCACGTGGCTTCTCCCTTTCATACTTACTTGGGTGGATGGTCAGCTTGGTTCCTTGCCCAAACACCAGCTTCTGGCCTGCACTTCCTGAGTAACACCACGGCACACAGCTTTACACAAACTACGCTCTCCCCCTTGACGAAGACACCTGCTCTGCTTCCCTAGCAGCCCCAGCCAGCTGGAGAAAGTGGTCTGAGCCTCAGGAACCAGGGGCCGTAGAGGCAGTGGTCCCTTGGGATGCACATGTTCTCCTTCGCAAGATATCCTTGAGCAGTTGTTGGCATGTACTAGTTTCCAGTTTCCTTGCCAGTCAAAGAGTTAACATCTTTGTTTTTACTTCATAGAATTTTAACTTATTTTTTTTAACCTTTCTTTCAGCCTTTACAGAGCTCTCCCTAAAAACAGTGGGATTAAAAGACTCTTTAAAATCGGAATATGTTAGGTCTCCTGAGTGGAGCTAAGCTAGCTTCTGCCTTAATATTTCTGGTTTGAATCCAAAGGCCTGCTCTTCTGGGACCTAATCCATCCAGATAATACAGGAAGGGTGAAAAGGCAGGGTAGAAAATTCAGGGGGAAATTCCACTTGTGAGACCTTCTAGCCCCTTGGATTTATGTTTGGACTCATCCCCTTCCCTCCAGAGGGGCATTGCTAGCATTTGTCACTAACAGGGAGCCATCCTCAAAATTAGTTCTAAAAGACACTCACATGCTCGCTGGGCTTGACGTGCACATGGTTTCTTCCTCTGCTCAGGGAAATTTGAAAAACAATTTCCAATTTTGCAAAGTGAAGAGGATTAGGAGAAAATCTGTTTGCAGTGTTCTCCTCCTCACTCCTCCCTGCTCCTCTCCAATGGTTTAAACTAATTATAGAAACATCCCCTTTAGGGTTAGAGAAATGTAGCAAGTTTCTAATCACTTCATCTTTTTTCTTGCTATCTATTTACTGCAGTCATATATTTACAATCTAAATTTACATTTCATTTCCATTTACAGGAGCTTCTAACGTGCTTTTCTATTACTTCCAGAACACCATGTATAAAGATAAACTATTGAAAGAAACCAACTCACAAGAAGGTTTTAGGGTTGGGTTGTCATTTCTCTCTATTCAGAATAGGTCTAGGGCAAACAAGTTATTATTACTCCTCCAGGCAAGACCAAGATATGGGCAGGGCAGTTCAGCCAACTGAGCAACTAGGCTAGCAGGTTGACATGCGATGTCTAAATAACTACCTACTGAGCATTGCTCCTTGGGATTAATTTGGATTTTCTTTTTAATCTAGCTCCCAAATATCAGCTTCCCATCTTTTTAGCTCTTAGAATCTCCCCGACAGGGCAAGCTTAAGGTAAACCTCATGGATGTTTTTAGAATCTCAACCAATATTTCATCTGTGTATATATCACAAATAAAGGAACCAAAAGAAGGACAAATATAACATCTTTAAAAAATAATTCATAACAGTTCTTTAAGAAGGATGAGAATTATAAATGGAAATGGAATGGTATACGCTTTTCCTGATTATCATTTTTAATTTCCAGAAGACTCTAAATAGCCAATCCAGTTTGGAAACAGCAGCTGGCTCAGGCACTCCTTAGAGTCTAGCCACTAGACACACAGGCCAGCATGAAAATGATTCTTTATCTTACACTGTGTTAGGCACAAGGGGCTTTAGGAAGGTTCTATGAAGGAGACATAGTATTTGCTAGAATATTCTAACTCTAACCTTTTTAATGTGGATAATAATTTGGCAATGAAAGTGGAAGTTTTATTTTGAGGTACCCATTGAGTAATTGGTATCTTTTGGGAATTACAAGCAAAAGTTAAATTCCAAACAATGGTTTGGAATGAGTTTCCATTATCATAGAAGACAGAGGCTTTTTCATGGAGCAAACTTTTGTCTACATTCAAGTTAATTGAAATTAGGTTTGTTTTGAAAATAGTGGGGCAGCACTCAAAATACCCCTCTGGGTATTTCAAGTTTGAAAAAAAGGTCATTATTGCATTTGAACTAGGGAACCCTCTCACACTTGCAAATTTAATTGCTATTTTTTCACCTAGAGGCACAGAAATGAGCGGGTATCAAAAGGGGCTTCTCTGATGCAGAAAGTTCAGCCAAGGCAGGGATGAAAACGTTCCATGAGGACCCAATTAGAAACACAGCGGTTAACAGCATCCCGGGGCATGTTTTCAGATGTTCACAATCTTTCTGGCTAATTTGAATATTTGCTTTCAATCTTACCTTTTCCCTAAATATCAGTTTGTCATCAGTGTTAGTACTAGAAAATCTTACATAGTTTTACCCAACTAGCTCAGCTCTAGGACTTGGGGAATTAAAAAGATTAGACAATTCTTTTCCTAGCTGCAATGACATGGAAGCCTTGGGAAGACAGTGCAGATAACATGAGGGTGGTCATTCAGTTCTTTATCTCAGTAGGCTACATCATACTGTCTCCTTTTGGATTAGATTGCATTGCACACTCACTACCAAAGCCACTACTTACTGTCTCTAATCTGCCCTTTGTTTTCTTTCAAAGGTGTTCTGCCCAATACACCAAAACTTCAATTCAGATTCCATTTGTCAGACACATGCCTCCAACACTTCCACAAATGAAATGAACATTTCCAAAGTGCTTAAAGGTGCCTGAAGAGACTCAAGACAGCGGCTGCCCACAAGGTCATTTTCACAGACAGACCCATGGTGAAGGATGCTATCTGGGCTAGTACTTCAGTTATCTTTCATTGAATTTCTAAGAGCTGTGGCTTATGACACTTCCACAAATGAAATGAACATTTCCAAAGTGCTTAAAGGTGCCTGAAGAGACTCAAGACAGCGGCTGCCCACAAGGTCATTTTCACAGACAGACCCATGGTGAAGGATGCTACCTGGGGCTAGTACTTCAGTTATCTTCCATTGAATTTCTAAGAGCTATGGCTTATGTTTAGAAACACATACTCTTCAGTAAAACATACCTGGTCTAACACTCAGGATTGTTCCTTTTCCAAATATTAGGTTATTATTGACTCCAGTATTACACAATGACTTGAGACTTTACAAAAACCTACTTACCCACTCGCCTTTGATACTTACTTAAATGTTTAGTTTTTAATCCAAGAATCTCCCTGCTACAATCAGCTCTTTATAATAAGGAGCTGGTGGTGGAGTTTATGGACTGCCTGGGGCCTTCCTTTTCCTTGCACTTATTGCCATTTTACTAGAAATGTACTGATATTCCCTCACAACAGGCCTGCCTTTATAAAATAGGAGCAGGAACTGTACCTCTCCCCCTGCCCCCCCCCTACCATTTTACAAAGGAGGAAAATAGAGGCTCAGGGAATTAATCAATTTTCTCTTAGTCCCAAGGAAAATTCTACCAATTACAATAAGAAATGAAGGTTTCTAAGTGTCTGAACTAAGAGTCTCTCTCCTTAGTTCAAAGATCCACTAGCACTATTGTGGTCCTTCATTAGATACAGTAGCATGTGAGGGTAGACAGCAGTGACCCTACGTAGTGGGAATACACCAGCAGTTGTTTGAATTAGAGTCCATTAATGAGGCTGCTATGACTTCTGACTTGGGTTGTAAAATAGAATGGAACATTGGAAAATCAGGGTTACAGAGAGAAATTTGGAAGCATTAGTTATTCAAACTTACATGGCGTTACTGTCAGTTTTGTTCCCTTCCCAAAGAAGAGCTTTTCAGAGCCGCCCTGAGTTACACCCCCACAGACTGCTTTACAAATACTGCCAAGACCACTCCACCAGGTATGGAGTACCAGGGCTCCACTTGCCCCCCCCAGGACAAGCACAAAAGCAGAAATACAGTGCTGCACAATTATAAGTTGTATCATTATTCCTGAAGAGAGGAACTAGATTGTCTTAGTAATTAATGATGTAATTGGTGAATGTAGATGGTTGGCTGTTACTGTTAATTTGAAAGACCTCAGGCTTTGGGGTCAGACAACTTGGGTTTGAAATCCAGGGCAAGTTCTTTAACTTATTGTGCGTTGGTCTTCTCATCTGGAAAGCAGGAAAACTAATAATTGCTTCATGATGTTGTTATAAGAATTAGGAGTAGGTACCTAATTGCAACTGGGTCACAGTGGTCCTGTTGACCAGCCCCTGAAGGTACTTGCTGAAAGCACACTTCTCTAGGGGTTATTGCCATAACCAGAGACCAAAGCCTCAGTGGCTTTCCCCTCAAGCGTAATTCCCCTATGGAATGCACTTAGCTCTGGAATGTGAATGCCAAGAATTAAATACCAGGTCCTCTGTCTTACCACATCAACGTGAACAAGATACTCAGCCCCTCTGTGCTTCTATAAAAATACAAAATGCAAGAAAAAGCTATCTTCTGTAAAAGAGGATAATAATAGCATCTAACTCACAGAGTTGGTATAAGGAGTAAATGTGATAATGGATAAAAAGCAAATTGTCTAGCATATAGTAGCTAATTAATACACTATCATTATTTTCCAATCCCAAAGTGAAATACATTGTCAACATCCTTCCTCTCATAATGTTTAAAATATGCAAGTCCATGGACACTTGTCTTCCTCTAGCTTATAAACCAGCGGGGCTATGAAGGCACAGAAGAACCCTCAAGCAGTTTGACAAGGGAGTTAAATGATTTTGTGAGAATTTAGGAAAGTCTTTATCTAATCGCATTGGTGCACCTCCATGAGATGTTGGGAGGGCATCTTTAGCCAGGCAGGACTTCAGTATTGGCAGAGATGGGACAAGAAGCTATATTATCATTAGTTGAT